TATATACACCCATATACACCTATATACACCTATATATAACCTATATACAGTGGTGCCTCATACCTATATATAACCTATATATATATATATAATCTATATACACTTCTACTTTTCCCTCTCAAAATTTAAAAGCAGAATTCATCGAGATTTCTTCAATGAATCATTTTCTTTTGTCATATTCTTTGTTTCGGGTTCTTCTATTATTACTATCAATTGCTATTTATTGCTATTGATAGGAAAAATTCGCAACAACAAAATTCCGTTCATTAAACGTTCAAACTTGATTTAAAAATTTTTTTATCGTAGAAAATGCATCGAAGTTTAAAACAGAAACTATAAAATTTACAAATTTGAAGATAAAACTTCTCTTTCCGATAAACTGTAGTTGTTATCAAAAGTTTCCCAAATGTCTAATTGGACTGCAGTTTGAAAAAATTGTAGACATATAAATTTCCACTGTGGTCCGTCTGTCTTTTCTTTCTTAATCTCGAGACCAGATATGGAAAGTTTAAGAGTAGGAGGCTCACTAGTGGCCGAGCGGTTCCGTCACTAAACACTGGGAGTTCGGTCGCGGATTCGCGCCGCGCTCGGACGGGCTGGCCACGTGGAGTTTTCCGGGTTTTCTTCACGTTTGTAACACCTGAATAGGGACCAGTTTCCCTTACAAGACTTCCCGGAAGGCATTCTTTCCCTTCGCGTAACATCGCGCTCCGGAGAAGGCAACGGGGAACCACTTTGGATGTAACTTCCCCCAGGACAGGATACACCTCGGCGCGTACTAACCACTTATTAACATGCTCCGGGTGCTCGCCGATATCAGGATACTGATATGGCACCCAGAAGAAGAAGAAGAAGAAGGGCAGGAGGTCCCGATTAACAAAGTGCAAACTTACGATACAAACCGGAAGTCATGTTATTTCAATTCAAAAATTTCCCCTGAAACGTGTTAGATAGATGACCGGCACGACTCGATTGCTCAAGGAAAAGTATGATGTACAGGGGCAGGACACTACTAATTTGAGATGGAGAGCATATATTTTAAATTAAATATATTAAAAATTACAGCTCGGCATTGTGACGATGTCACAATAAAATAATTGTTTTCTTTAAATTCTTATTATGCCATAGGATATTTCTACAATAAAAATTATTTTATTGTTTGATGCGCTTCTCAATTAATTCTTAAATTAAAACACAATGGAAAAACACACAACGATGTAGGAAAAATTAAAAATTAGATTGTTTTTATCCGATTAATGTCTATTATAAATGACATCTTTAATCATAAGTTGTATTAATTACAATTCTATTAGATATAAAGTGCATCAAAGAAAAATTATTTTATTTTGAGATTAAGTGACTCATGTTCTCTGTTATATGAATCCTCTTTCTTTTCTCTCGGAGATGAAAGGAAGGATGAGAAATTTCATATTAGTGGTAAGAAGAAAAAGACTTGTACACGTGTCGTTGGCTTATATAACTACTCAATGTCCTTTGTTGACATTTTTTTTTAAAACAAGCTTATTCAAACGTATTTGATAAACATTTCCTAACAAATTCAATTAATTTTCAGCTTGTTTTAATTTTAAATTAATAGATTTTATTATATTAATACCATCTTATTAAAGATAAATATATTTTCAAATGATTTATATGATTTTATAATTGAATCAAATATATTTAGTTTAACAAAAATAAATTTTTAGAAAAATTATTGCGAGTGAATTGTAAAAAAAGTAAAAAGAATGAAAGTTGTACACTCATTCGAAATGTAAAAGAATCTATTTAACGTCTATTACTTGTTGGGAGTGGTGAAACATGGCGTAACGAGATGGGAGTGTGCAGTTTCCAACTTTTAATGATCGGATATTTAATTAGTCACAAATATTCTTCCGGTCTTGGCAATTGTATTCCAAATTAATTCGGTTTTTTAAACAATCACTTCTTATATAATTTTCTAATTTATTATTTAATGAATTTTAATGAAAACGGTTTATTTCTACAACGAACGAGCGATTGTTTTTCCTCTTACCGAATATACACGATTAATACAGTATAGAGAGTGCATTAATTTTAAAGGAATTTTTCGCTTAAACTTCGATTCGAAAGTTTTAATTTAAACTTTCTAGGCAATTTTATTTTATTTAATTATAACTTTTATCGGACTTTTAAAAAAATTGATTTAAAGCGAGTGAATTTACTTACGATAAAAAGTTTTGTTTGTTTAATTACAGCTATCAATCTCTATCTACGGGATCCAAAATAGCTATTATTTTGAAAAAAAAAGACATTATACGCTATTTGATGGATTCGTATTAAATCCTTTATGTCGTATCATTTATTGATTACTTCAATAAATGACACGATATTGTAAAATTATCGACTTTTATGATTAAAAAATTCTACGCCGGATCAACGAAGAATCTATTTTACAGAGCCAAGGATTCTATTTTACTGCACGTTCCATATAAATATGAGATAATTTAGTAAAGTGTTAATCGTGTTATTGACTTACTAACAATATTTATCGCTGGAGAATTCTGTATTTTGAATAATATCACAAAAATAAGGTAAATAGCAACAGTTACCATAGCTATTATTGCTAAATTAAACTTGTTTTATCAAATAAAAAGCTACTCTTCGTCATTTATTTATTGAGAAAGTGGTAAAAATTTTGTTAAATTTCTCGTCGTAACGATTTAAAGAATGGTTTACGTGACCCAAAAATGTAATTTGATACAGTATATACAGTTTAGATGAAGATATATATCAAATATCTGTTTAGAAAATTATGGCTTTCGGTAATAAACGTATTCACTGTGACAATTAATTGCTATTTGCATGCATCGATAATGTTAACATATTAAATGTTAGTATAACATATAATCATGCTAGCATACTAATGTCATCGGTTACATGTGATAAGAATTCAGGAAACATTGCAGAAATGAATTGTTATGAGGCAACATCTCACAATCTGCAAGGTTTCCGTTATGATTTCGATTAATTCCATTAAAGATGCGCTTCTTTAAAATAATCCTTCTGTTTCTGCACTAAATTATGATGATGATCATCAGCATCATTTTTTTTCTTTCTAATTGATAAAAAATGATCTAAAAAGTAAAAAATTTAATATTTCAAAAGTTGAATTTCTTTTTATCGTACGTTACATCTGCATATCTCGGACGATAAAAGGTCCTCGAAAAATTTGGTGAGGCAAAAATTAAGGGAGGAAAAGTCCAGTTAAATTTTTTTATCAATAACATATATTAAACATCAATTCATAAAATGAAAAGTTTGTCTAACATTTTCTGTTTTTTAAATATTTACAATTGCTAAAATCGTTTACAGATCTGTAGAATGATAATGGCGCTCGATAGAATACGGCTATAAAATTTACATTTTTCAAATAAATAAATAAAAAAACTTTTTTTTTAATTCGTAAATTGTTAAATAAACACGTTTTAAATTATTTTATTTTGAAATTAAATAAAATTTTAGTATTTATTCGTTGATTTATGCTCTTACTTTATGGTTTTGTTAAAGACAACCCACCAAAAATCCATAAAATTTTAGAAATATTTACAAAATAAATTGAAGTGTTATATAAATAGAATTTAATTTTAAAATGATTAAAATAGTTTATTAATTGACTCTTTTTTTTTGTTAACAAAGTAATTAATTTATATTTTTGAATTTTAAAATGATTTCGCGTGAAGAATTTCAATATGCAGGTGTTAGAAACTTTGACGTAACCGGTTTAATCTATAATAAGGAGCAATAATAACACGTTAATAATGAAAATTTCTTCTTTTATGTCATTTTTATAACAAAAAATTAGGGAAAAAAGTATGGATTCTGTTTCTTATTTACCGAACGAGATCTTATTAGTTTAATTAGTTTAATCCTTCATNGATTTTGGCGGCGGTATCTCGGGCCTCGAAAGTCATTACACAAGCTGCGACGATGATAAATCCGCCGGTTCCCATTACTACGGGGCCTATATACGTCAGACTGCCCAAATGAGTATCTCTGCTCTCGTTCTTCACCCAGATGGTGGTGTTTCCTCTTTGTTCTTCCACTCTGGACAAATATTCGGAATAAAATCCGACCGTGGCCATTCCGGCGCCTATTACTATAAGTAATACACCTACCGTCATGGCCTTGCATACTGTCCACAAAGAATTCTCCGCCATTTTGATTCTGACGGCATCTATCGTCCACCATTTTGTGCGGTTATCCGGATGCGTGTCACACTTGACCTCGCCTCCTCCTCCCGTTTCTATGGCAACTTGCGTCTCGACCTAAGCGTAAATAATAATAATAATAAATCTAATAATATTCTTGTAGAAACATAATTTCTGATACAATATTTACAAATTAAATTAAACCGGATGTAAAAGAAGATTTAATCGACAAAATTAGGCCAGTCTCGCGGGTATCTCCATCGAGTTTCTAATGCATTAAATTAATATTTTTCATCTCTGCATTAGTTTTTCCTCTACTCCAGCGGTTCTCAACTTTTTTTCACTTGAGTACCCTCCCCGTTTTTTTGTCTAAAGACTCGTAACACTAACAGATGCACCCCTACTAGTACGCGTACCACCGGTTGAGAACTCAGTTCTACACCTCTAGCTATTGTCTATAATTTCATTTTAAAATATTAAAATTTTATAGAATTTATTTAACTTTCGTATACACGATTTTTATATCTTTAACACGCACAAGAGACTCGAGAGAGACGAGCTGTTTTTCTCTTCTTGATATTAAAATATCCGTACTTCAATAGTAACTTACACAGGAGATCGTTTCTACATATAAAATCTTTATTTTTATTTATTTTATAAACGAAAAAATATTTTTAATCGGTTCCTTAAACTTTAATAATGTTATATAATCGGTCATTAACAGGATCAAAGGCTAGTTTTATTTTATTTTATTTAAAAATTATCCGGAGCAATAATGGTGTATAAATAATTCAATGTTGTTTAATACGCTTTTAGAATAGAATTTAATTTAAATATAATTGTAATTTTTATGACCAGCGATTACCAATATTGGAAATTTATAATATAAAACTGAATTTACCGATTTTTTTGTTTTTTAATTAAAAAATAGAATTATTCTACCCGTCAACGAATGAATTTTTTGTGATGCACTCTTGAATTGCAATCGCAAAAATAAACAGACAGCTTAAGAGATCGTTTTTCCTATAAAAATTGCTAATAAAAGTATATAAATACATCGTTCGTAAATAGAAGTTCGCTTTACCAGCAATTTAAATCTATTGTTTTTATTTTTTTGTTATTTAATTTCGATAGATATCGAGAATACTGCAGGTGAGTGTCTATCTATCATCGTCTAAGTATTAAGTGTAAGAGAAATAGCAATAAAATATTTGCCTCTTATCTTCTTCTTTGCTAATTAATTACGGAATTGCTTTTAGCGTTGGAGATTAGAGAGAAAAATTTGCAATAATAGACAGAGAGAGATTAAAAATCTTTTTTAAAAAATCCTAATATTATCAATTATTATTGCTGTTTCTCATCAATTTGCATCGCGGTGGAAACGGGAGAGGATAAAAGATTTTAGTTCTTCTTATAGGAATTATATATACAAAGGGAGCGAGAGAAGAATAGAGTGTCGGAATGCACATTTAAAAACAATAGAATCAGGAAGATTCGTCGGAGATGTCGTCCTCGTTACACGTATCCAAAGCACTTTGCCTGAGTAGTGGGCGTCGTTTGATCGAACCGGTTCGATCGGCAACTGTAGGTACTAGTAGTAGTGTGGCTTGATCATCCGTAGTGGCTTTGGTATCTCTTCCTTCGTCTTTCACCTTGAGGGTCAATGCTGGCCCCTGAGGGAGGTAGACGTCGACTGCTAGAGACTGGGTCGATTCTTTACCCGGAATGTTGTTAGGAACGGTCAGAGTAGTCGAGGGACATTGGGGAGAATCGACCGATATGGCTTGACGTTGAAGAGTCGGTGCTAAGCAGTTAGAGTCTCTTTGCGTGCTGGACGGTTGTGGAGTGCTGCTTAGCTGCAAAGGTTTAGTGTCTGCTATCTGTTCGTTGCACGTGCGTCTAAAAATCATTGGGTCGGAAGGACACTTCCTTAGAGCGTTTCTGTCCGAGGCGGTGGAAATGTTTCTCGAATCGACACTGTTTTGAATTTGCAAACTAAAATCGATGAGCGCTTGCGTGACGGCAGTTCTTTCGCGTTTTCTTCTCCTCGACCTGGAAAGAAATCTCTCCCAGGACGTTTGGCTCGATCTTCTAGAAGATGTGGCAGTGCCGGGTATAGCCAGATTTCTTCCTTTACGTAGCCAAACCGGAACGATTTTGGCGGCGGTATCTCGGGCCTCGAAAGTCATTACACAAGCTGCGACGATGATAAATCCGCCGGTTCCCATTACTACGGGGCCTATATACGTCAGACTGCCCAAATGAGTATCTCTGCTCTCGTTCTTCACCCAGATGGTGGTGTTTCCTCTTTGTTCTTCCACTCTGGACAAATATTCGGAATAAAATCCGACCGTGGCCATTCCGGCGCCTATTACTATAAGTAATACACCTACCGTCATGGCCTTGCATACTGTCCACAAAGAATTCTCCGCCATTTTGATTCTGACGGCATCTATCGTCCACCATTTTGTGCGGTTATCCGGATGCGTGTCACACTTGACCTCGCCTCCTCCTCCCGTTTCTATGGCAACTTGAGTCTCGACCATTCTTACCTGTGGGGAAAGAAGTATTTTATCGTTGCATAATATTATTCCGTAATGACTTATATTTAAACGTATAGGTGTATATATATACATATATTTTAAGTGTTTAAAATGGGTCAACTGTCACCGAACCGTCTAGAGAACCTCCCGTTGTCATAGTAACTATCTCTCCAGAAAGTTGAAAAATCTCATAGTTTTATTACATTTTTATTCGGTAAGAAGCTACATTTAGAAAAGTAATTTGGGTGTTAACTTATCCGAAAGAGACGAAAGCGAGAGAGAAGGGGAGGAAAAAAATTGGTTTTATTTTTGTAGAGCGTGTGAAAACATAGATACGTGAATAATTTGGATTTTAATTTTCTAAGCAAACTTTTATTAACTCTATATAAAAATATTTTCCATTCCTTTAAATAACATCTGGCAAGAAAGATAAGAAGTTCGCCCAAGCAAAATTCCCAAATGATTAAACGATTTTTCCAATTTTAATGGAAAAATGTAATAATAATAAAGAAGAAGAAGAAGAAGAAGAAGGACAAATTTTCTGCTTTAATTTTTATAAGAGTCGAGAAAGATATTTGTAAGAACATTCTAATATATATGATAATGATGGACGTGTCGGCTGTCAGCGGGTTGGCGACATCGAGTGGAGCGTAACGTCTTTTAGCTAAAAGTAACTAAAAATAGAAAATATGTTAATATTATTTCCGAATTAAATATTAAAAAAAAAGAACTGCACTCCAACAATTCTCGGAAACCCAATAGAAAAAATAAATAAAACAAAATTCCGGAGTTGCAATTTTGGCTAGACTCACCTAAATATATTGTATTTAGGTCATTAATATATTTATCCGGATAGCTAAATCGTCCTCGATACTACTTCGATTCCTTATCTAATTATATAATTTTGGCACGGAAAGAGGAAATGGAAGATTTGGCCGCTCCTTGCCGTAATATTTATCTTGTGTCTTACACGTTAGCTTTGTAGACAGAGGAAGAGAGTCTTACCTTTTGGTCGACCGATTCCACCCGGTTACTTTTCTATAGGAAGGATTACGGCAGCCATTTTCCGACATTGCTACCGAAGCGTCAACCCCGAATCGATCCGACACTAGCGCATGCTCCGATAATCGGATCGATGGAAACAGGTGGCGGTCGGACGAAACAGCGATGTCTAATGGAACAGTTGACGGTCCCGGTACAACTTTAATGCACTTACATTTATGCCGACGCGTTGCTTATGCTTCGTTGTAACTAGGGTTTTCTTTATTTTTATTTTCTGTAACCGTTTTGTGAAGGAACGGGCGCTTGTCGGAAAATTTCTCGCGTTATTCGCGCAAATTATCACTAATTAAACGCTCGACACTATACCTAAAATGATAAAGAAATGCCTTGAGAGGTTGGTAAATGTTTTCGTAGTGTTCGATTTTCCGTCGGACGTCACATCGACCCGTTTTCGTATTCGTATTTTATGTGAAAATTTAAGCTTTGATATATGTTATTGGTTGTAGATCCTAGTCTAACGGCTGCGCTAACTTACTGTAAAAAATCGGGTAGACACGGAAATGACACTTTCGACCCGTTTTTAAGAGGAGACTTCGCATTGGACAAACTTTAAATGCGTTTATATTAAATATAAAGATTCGTATTACATTCTGTCGTCGTTCTCCGATATTTTTTCCGACATTTTTTTTTCTTACGTAATTTGTGTAAATTCCATCGAATCTAAACAATTTTATTTAAATTCGATGTTGATTTTTATTTAAAAATAATTCGAAAACACAAAGTAAAATGATCTTAATATATATAGTCTATAGTTTCGTGTAGATTCATCGGAATTAATTAATTATTTACTAAATATTTAGTGAATTCGCTACATTTTTTTTTTAAAAAACAAAGATAAATAGACGAGAAAATCGTGAAATTCTTCAATCGGTATGTAGATCCCATTACGTATTTCTATTTTCGATATTACGTATCGTAGCGTATGTGAAACGACATCCAGGCTAGTTACTTCCACTTCCGTAATTTTAATCAATATTGGCTATTATTTCTGGCATTTTCTTAGCATTTTTCGGCTAACGAACATATATTCTGGTGCGTTGGAGTGTATTTTCTTTAAGTCTATTTCTTATAGTGGGGTAAGACTGGAATATTGATCCGGACCGGCGATCAGCATATCTCTTTTATTCCCTGTCAGGATAATAGATGAAAGCCGTATGTAATAAATGACTGGTTTTTATACTATTATATCTAACATTACTAAATAAAGTTTATGTCTTTCAAACTTTTGCTATCTCGGATTCTTAAATGGCATTTATTGCGGCACCATAATTTCCCTCTTCCCCTTCTTCATCTTTAGCTTATACTAAATTAATTTGACGACGATGGGAGTTATCCTTTATCGTCGCTAATATTTTTTACACGGATGATCGAATAAATTAGTCCTATTTCTGAAATCAAAATTACATTTCTATTATCGATTTCTGTAAACGAATACTATTTGTCTGACGGAACGAGAACAATTTATTTAAAACTAATGGATTTTAAATCGAAACTAATCACGGGTACGTATTACGTGACGTCACCGCCGACGTAACGAACGTGGATAGTGTTAGAAAGCCAAAACTTTTATAACGAGTGTCAGTCACACGCGGCTTGTCTGACATTGTTTCATATCTGCGAAATTTAATCAGGATTTCTTTCGTGCATACGATTATTAAAATTTTATTCATTGCTTTTGCTCTTTGGATATAGTTCTGGAAATCAATCATGACGACGACAACTTTCTTTTTTTTTTTTATTTCTTTCCTCTGTGACCCCCTTTTTTAATTCGTTTTATTTCGAATTTAAATTTAGTCCTCTTATAATTAAAAACAGATTTGCAAAAAAAAGAGAGAGGGAGGAAACATGTTAATAAATAAGTAAAGCAGCAAAATACTTCTAAAATAAATTGAAAAATTAATTAAAAAAAACTCTAAAAGATAATCCCTATATATATATATATTTAGTGGGTATTCCCCCTTTTTTTATGACGAAAATTACAACTGCGCGTGATCGAATTATCGAAATGACATTTTTTTGTTTGGTTTTTTTTTTATTTCCTTTTTTCTGAAAGGAAAAAAATCCCATTTGTAAGGATCTAAATGGATAAATATTATATATGAATAGCCAATATAACAAAATGTTTCGGAGATATTAAACGAGCACAAAGCACACGGTAGAGAGCGTCGGGTTTCGTAATAAGACGGTGTTTGTATGGCCGGATATGCGCGTAGGTCGGGCCATTTCGTTACCATGACAACAATTGGAACTAGCTGACCGACTGTCTCGGGGTCACACGGTCCGAGATTAAAGGAGGCGGCTAGAAAAGCAGTTGTGGCATAAGTGGATTTCTTACTACTCCCTCGGGTTCTCTCTCTCATTTACTAAAGTCTTCTTCGAGTATCGTTGTAATTGTTGTCAGTAACTTGTCTTTTGTTGTATAGTTGAAGGACTTTCTAAATACTTTTGTCACTTTTCGTCCTTCCTTCCATTTCTAGAGTAGTCTCCTCTAATTAGAAATATCGCTTCGGTTTTTAAATTTTTATTGTATTCTCCGAGACGGAAAAACGTGCCTAGATTTTTATCTAAAACTCGACTCTTTAAAATTAATGCAATTCCTAGAAATATTTACGAATATTCTCTCGCCGATAGACATACGGTCTTCTTGTTTACGTGGCAAGAACATTAATAAAAATGACTAAAAATTAATGAAACACGTTTTAAAATTATTTTTCCTTCCTTAAACTTTTCATTGTTTAATCTTTATTAATCCGAACAAAATTTGGAATAAAATTGGACCGCTTAAACGTTTTAAAAATAAATAATTGCAAATGTTTTCTAGTGTTAAATTCAGTTTACAAATTTCTCCGCGAGATGGCATTGCTTTTCCATAGTGTAGAAGACAGATTAAATCATTTTTCTCAATGATGTATTGTTTCGTAGGAATCGTGTGTAACGATATGTCCAAATTATAAATCTTCTAATATTTTGATCGTTTTGATATATGTATATGGACTTTATCCAAAATTTCAATAGGTTAAAACATATTTACATAAAATATGATATTGTATTTGAATTGGAGAAGTGAGGTGTACTGTACATCAAATAATCCATTTTAAACTTTATAATCTCCTTATTATTATTATTTTTTATTAAGAAAGTAGAAACGAAGAACTCGGTTAATCGCTATTATTCTATAAGAAAGTTTTTCGATTTATTTATTATTTTATTTATTTTTTTTTTTTTGCCGGACATCTTTGGATAAATGCAAACAACACCTTATTATATGGAGCAATCGTGTATAAGAAAAGACAGAAATCAATATTCGATTTACAGAAATCACCCATTTTCTAAATAAGAAAAGTAGAAATTCGTATTTCCTGTTTAATAAAGCTCCGTTTTCATATTTTATTTCATTTTTTCCCCCTTTATATTCAGTGGAGGAATTTTCCTTCAAAACGATGGCTTTAACAATGCATCGAAATAGAAGTGAAGCATTTTAAAACCATTAGATACTTTCTAGAAAAACAAGCTATAAAAATTCTTTCTAGTTTTCTTTATATATATATATATATTTCATGTAGAGATATAGTTCTGTGAAAATTAGAATTTCAAAGTCGGGTTATTCGGGACACGCGATGTCAGGTTAGATTCAACATGTTCCAGAAAACTCGACTTGTTTTGGTATAAAAGGCAATGCCATTATTCAAGTCAATAATAATCGATTTTTTGCCTTTCATCCTTTCTCAGCTTCTTTAAAAGGTTATCTACTATTTGAAATATTGTGAAGTTTGTAAAATATTTTCTACTCTCCATATGAATCTCGCATAAAAAACAAGACTCTTCTTCCTATGGAACCTTTCGAGTTTACATCGAATCGAATAAAGTACTGTATTTTAAATATATTTACTATAGTTACGCCATTGTTAGCTTGGTTTTGGAATTTTTTTTATTGTATTATGTTTATCGAAGACAAAGATATAATTTTTATAACTGCAATAGACAATGGCGTTTTATGTTTCCCAATGATTTATTACAAGAAACAGAAATGTATCTATCTATATTTACTCGATTATTGTTTATGTATGTATCGACATTGTTGGTTTAACCTGGAGTTTGCGTTTTCTATATTCTTAAATATAACATTTCTGAAAAGGGGATGAAATATTGGCTATTGCTGGAAACCCTACACCAAATGCATTTGAAAAATTCATGTTTTTATTATAGCAGTACGTCAGTTTCACTATTCTCCCTCATAAAATCATACGTGAATGGTTCGGCATCATTTCACGATTGTTATATTTGACAAATATTACAATAAACGGAATTCTTTCCTGCGGTTGTTAACACTTTCTAAAGGAGAATTTTATGATAAGCGACGGCTATAAAACAATAATGACGATTCTATCTGGGATTCGTATAATTTGTGGCTGCGATATATATATATATAAGAAGAATACAATGGTTGCACTTTTTTGTGAGCCGAAAAACACTCCGAATACGAACGTCCATAGAAAGAAAATTCGGTCTTTTGGGACAGATTTTGACAATATTCTCGAGAAAGATTGAAGTGTAGTGATTCCCCAAAAGAAATGGAAGTCAAAGACTGAAAAATGATCTCTATGTTTCTACATTCGCGATACATCCCGACCTAATAAAGTGTTTTATATAGCATACAAAAATGAAAATTTTATATTGGTTTCCTTTATCGAGTGTACGAACCTTTAGATTCAGTTTCATTTTTAACTGGAGAGTGTTTAAATGATTAATGCGATCGTGAAGCCATTTCCAGGAATGGCGTCTATCTAACTTTTTTTTATTCTTTTTTTTCAACTGAATCATGCGGTAAACTTTTAAGTATTCCAGAACTATAAACCATTTTCTTTAATATAAAAAATTATATATTTTTGGATTATTCGGAGATTAGTATTCTGCAAATACTAACATTTTTATAGATGGATAAATTTAATATGTAAATGTTAGCGATATTCATTTTACATGATGTAATTTCGAATTATTCATTGTTGTTCGGCATGCCAATAGAGAGAACTGCCTCCAATTGAAACAACACATGGAAGAGATTAGCATCCAAAATAAACGGACGTGTCCAATTATCCAAACTAGTGTTCGCTACAATAATGTCCGCTCCACTAACTCGATAGGCGGCTTCTTCCTCGGGGTACTTTCCTTTAGCCATTAGTTAGACCGCGTTATAATAATTCCAAATAAAACTCTCTCCAGAAAATACAATTGTCAGAATATTTTTGCTGGAAATTCTAATCAAATCTATATTTATTATCTTCTTTATTTCGCAATAAAAATATTTTTCCAAAGCAGAAATTTTCTTGAAGGAATATTCATTGATTACGTGCGACATTCCCGTAGAGTTTGCCAAAGAATCGTTGTCCATTGCCTCGAGCCAGAAGTTCGTTTCAAAAACGACGTCTCTCATTTTAGTTTCGAGTTGTACAAAATTCTTTGGATCTTTCAGTTTGACTTTTGCCTTTTGGCGACGTTGGACCAACGATTTCGATAGAGAATAAGAAATAGGCTTGAACCATTCTTCGTCTTTACTTTTCGACTTGTATTTGGTCGACGCCGAACAAAAGGAATAATCCAATTCGTAGAAATAAACTTGAACTTTTAATATAAAAAAAAAGTAAAAATATAGGCCTATATATATTTTTTTTCCCTCGAAAAGCTAACAATATATCTACGTGTTTACTTATCATTTTGCAAAATTCAATTCTTCCTCAAGATGCGTGTTATATTTTTATTCAAAACGATCGACGATCCGAAATTAATGTACAGTTAGACGAATCTTCACTATTTCTTACCTCGTTATATATATTTACAATGCCATAAATCAGTTCTAAAGTCAAACATATTTCTGTTTTATTAAAAAAAAATACCGATCAAGATTCCTCTGCTCCGTATTATTCTATATATGTATAATATAATATAAAAGAACATTGTACTAATATTATTATAAACTTTTGACTTATATAAGCATGATGCAATAGGATATAATAAAAAGGAGTTATCTAAACTTGTCGAAGAATTTTTACTTGGATAAATATTTGTTTTCTAGTGTATCTTAATACGAGAATCTATCATTTTTGTTCTGTAATAACAGTAGACAATTGTAATTGTTTGAACGTAGTCGAAGCGATAAGTTAATTATTTGATGATAAAGTAAATAAATATTTAGTCTTATCTTATCGTTTATTTAAATTTATCACATATTTTCTAGTTAAAACAGTAACTAAAATGGAGTCGTCACCTCGCATTGTAACACTCGAAAGAACAGAATTTTTTATATATAAATCGAAAGAACAGAATTGTTACACGATGTAAATTGATCGCCGAAGGGAATTCATTTTACAATTCTATAATTGCAATTAGGATCAATTATTAAAGCCAATTATACGAGAATAATTCTATTCATAAATCAGTTTAAAACTTTCGTAACATAATATATTATTAACTTAAAAAATATATAGGCTATATGTATTATTAAATCCACAGAATTGTAAGTTTTTGTTTTATAAAATTTTAAAAAGTAAGATTAAGTTACTATTAAATTGTTATTTTATTAACATGCGCTTAATCTCTATAGAATAGTTTAACAATGAATCAAAGAGAAATGCCATTTTGGAGCAGAAGATCCGATAGGAATCGAGCCAAGGATATCCGGGAATCAGATCAAACTTTAACGATAAGATTGTAGACTTAGTAGTAGTGTCAGCATCTCTCTTTCCACGTCTATCCAGGATAAGTTACAATACCACGAACGAAAATGTTTTATACAATAAAATTAACTTTTATTAACTTTAACCGATTTACTAATATTAAATTAGATTTTCTTCGTATCAATATATATATATATATATATATATTAGTACAATAATAATACATCATGTACAACATATAAGTCTCTTTTATTAACATTCATCATACAAAACACACGTGAATATTACGACTTCTTCCTCCACCTTTTTAAGTATTCTTGGGGTCGCTTGGCCTCACGTGATCTGAAAAAGAAAGAAAAATAAAAAAAGGAATGTTAGTCACAAGTCGACAGAAATTTTAAATTAGTTCATAAATCGACGTAAATAAGTTTAGGCGCGAGATTGAAGAAACGAGCGATTCGTCAACCAACCTTGATCGATGTCAAAAATGTCTTTTAATTTTCTATCGATTTGATATTTTTGACTCGGTCCCTTCTAAACTACTTCTTTGATGTTCTCTTTATACAAACGAGGTTCATGCACCGTAACGATTTACGGTTATTCGTATACTTTGGAATAAATAAAATATAACAATTTAATGTGTTTCGGTTCGGTAAAAACAGATTTAATGTCCTAATATGTTGACGACACGTTTCCAATGTTACGTGCAATAGCGATTCGTCACCAACTTCTGCCATTTTGGTCTGTATATTTTATAATACACCTCACCGACTTTTTTTTATTTATTTATTTAATAGTTAAACACGTCGCTTACTTATTTATCAAAAGAAAGCTAAATTTATACATTAAAAAAAAGTAAATTAGCTTTTTTAAATGTAGAGTGGTGCTTGCTTTGATAAAGAATTAAAGCCGTGATTTTGTTATAAAAATATATATTCTAATTACGATAATTAGAATATATCCGTACACGTTTATATAGTATTTTTATTATTAGAATAGATTATTTTTAGAATAGAAATTATCATAATTTGATACTTTATAAACGGTCTTAATCATAAAACAGGAATTTTTGTTTAGCAGCAGAATGTTAAAGTAAAACGATACTTGATTAATGATATGTCAAATATTTAAAGATATATTTTATTTAAATATTAATATATAAAATTTCACTTGTATGCTTAGAGAATATTCTAGATTCGATGTGGAAAAACAAGAGAAGTGCATGAAACAACATATTTTTAATTAGTCACAAGTAGACCTTTTAGGTATTTACACAAAGAAGTTATACGTAATTAGAATGTGATTAAAATGAGTTTGTTTATACTTATAATAGACCGTGTGTTAGTTCTTATCTGCGGATAAACTTTGTCGAAGACGGTAGCTATCTTTTTACTTGTCAATTTAAAGTTTTGTTAATTAATTCAGCGGATTCTTTTAGAGAAGACACACGTATGTGATAAAAGACCCAGAGGAAGAATGGCTGTCAGCCGATCCTCTCTCTTGGGATATTTGAATGACAGGTGCGAGTATTATTCTCGCTTTTAGTCACTTTTATGTTGATTGAATCCAGAAAAGAATTTCACATTTATAAATATAAATTTGGCAAGTTTTGCCTTTTTTTATAAAGAAAAAAATTCGACACATTAATTAATTCAATGCCTAAATGATGATACATTCTTTAGAATTTAATGGACGAAAGTAAAATAAATAAAAACAATTAATCCGGCCGGATATAGACTGACTAGTAGAAATTAATGTAGAATAATAGTTTTAAATTAAAAACCTGAATACGATGAAAGAATCCTTTATTATTAATGTAATAAAGAAAAGGGTCTAGTATGAACTCGCGTAGAGTATTCAAAAAGGCAGAGAGGGCAACATGTCCTTCCTTAGCCAAAAATTAAAAATAAATAAATAAAATATAACAAAAACAAAAATAACTTTTCTTTTAGAAAGTCTTTCTATATTGGATTGCAATTTTCAAATTGCACACCTATAAATTCTCACTAGCATCCATCTTACTGTCTATCTGTCCTTCCTTGATCTCGGAACGGAGTTAGATAGATGAAGGTCGAGACCAAATATGGAAAGCTTAGGGCAAGTGGCCCCTTTTAACTATATACCAACTTCCTTATCTGATCGAAAGTCACGTTTTTTCAATTCAAAAACTTTCTCCAAAACGGAGTTAGATGATCGGCATCACTCTATTGTTAATAGGAAAAGTATGATGCACAGGAGCAAAAACTATTAAAATCAAAGCCTATATTTTAAATTAAATAGAGTAAAAATTAAACTCTGGTATTAAATAATTGCTTGTTTTATATATTGTTTTATATGTCTAAGTTGTTTTAAATTTATATATAAAAAGAATTATACATAAACTTATTTTAAAATGCTCCCTTTCGACGATATTTGCGTAATTTCCTAAGCATAAAAATATCAAATCGAATATTTATTCGATTTCTACATATTTAACTGCAGTAGATTATTTTCATACTAATAAGTTATGAATATATATATATATATATATATTATGAGATAGTTATATCAAGATAATTTCTAAATTATTGTTTTTTATACTGGAAATAACTTTTCTAATTTTTCTCATTATGACCTAAATGTATCATATTAAGTCTATGCTGTGACGTTAGATTATTATACGCCAGCAAATTAAATTAGTTTGATATAATTTTACAAGGTTTTTTATCTAAAGGAAATTATTTTCTAATAATTTAAACAATCTTTTTAAAGTAAGTGATATTTTTCTATGTTAGATTTTGAAAGAGCTAATAAAGCTTTTCCCTTAAGGAATGTGTAACTTTATACATAGTTAAATTGTTAAAATTCTAAAACCAAATTAAATCACTTATCAGTTAAGCTTAAATTAGTACTTGGGAATTTAGTTTTTACCAATTCTCAAGTACTAATTTAATCATCAATTTAATCATCGGACTAAAAACAACTTAGCAGAGCTTAGTTTAAATTTTTAAATATATAAATATTATCTTTTTCGGTATTTGGCGGTTTTTTTTAAATATTCCAATTTAAAATTACGTTTTCTATTAATTTCAGTAATGAATAAAACTTAGAATAATTAAGCGTAATGCTTAATTAACGTTAAAAAACAAATTTAAAATCAAGACCACCTTAAAATCATGTTAATGACTAAATATATATTTGGATTTCATTTTTCTGAAAATTAATGTTTATTTTTGTTATGTTCTTTTCAATTTCTCGTTGTGTCATGACTAACATATTTACTTTATCGTCTACTTTAGAAAGAAATCCCTTGACATATCAAAAACTTTACTTCCAGGATGGAAAGTCCAATCATTTTAGCAATTGTGACACCTTAATCGTGTTTAGCTGGTTTCTTTTCTTATTGATTTCTTTCCTTGAAAGATTCAGTATAATGAGCTAAAGATCTTCCAAGTTCAGACATAACCTTCCTTTTCTCTTTAGAGTACTCATTTTGCCATTCCTTTCTTCCCCCAATTTTTTCTACAAATAAGTTAAACATTCTCTGGTTTCCTCAACCTTGGTTTTTTACAAAGCTATACCGAGATTGTAATCACGACGTTCTAATTTATCTACAATGATAAAGATGATTGGAACAGATCCATTTATCGATTCCTAAAATTTCTAGTCAACAATACTTACTTTTATACATCAATGCTACAGAATTGAAATCTGATACATGCACCCGATATAACGATAGATAAAATATAAACACATATTTAAATTATCATCTTATCAAAATCAATATAGGCCTAGATTAGAAGGCTTTCAATGTACAAAAATGCTAAATTGAACTTTCTAAACTGTCTAGACACGATACCGAATTTATGTAGAGTTCGACATTTGTCTTAAATATAAATTCGGAAAGAATATTTTATAGTTAAATAAATTACATAGAGAAGAATATATCAATAATTGATTGGAAAAAGGGAGGTAACTATCATCAATACAACATACGTTGATGAATTATGGGATTGCAATTTCGAGGTTTCTGAGCAAACACTACTTTCGGGGTATAAAAAATGGTGTAAATATTCAGATTTATTTCACTTTTAGAAATTTAAACGACACGTCATCCGCCGATTTTTATCTATAAATCCCTAAACATAAAAGAAAAGTTAATATAAGCAATGCTTACAAGAATAATTACGATTTTGTTCGGTTAATAAAAATATTATTTTGAAAATTGGGCATTTTAGTTCTAATTAAAGTCTGTAAAATTTTGAGCATATCTTTTTGGTTCCTCCATCTCTTATCGGTGATTAAAACTTGAGGAATTTTTCGTTATTTTCTTTTAAAAAAAGTCAACATAGTAAACACATTTTAGTTTTCTACACCGTGCTGATTCATCATCGCTCAAATTCAATACTCATGTCTTATATCGCCTCTTCAACTCGGATGAAATGTTATCGCGAATTTTATTTTTGTTGTTGTTTCTTTTTTAATATAAAAGAAAATAAACATAGAAAGTTAATTTAACCACTAAAGATCTATTTTAATTTTCATATTCTGTTTCTAAATATATCATTTTATATAAATAGCATCATCATTAACGCAGCTCTGGGATAAAGTCTCGGAAGACCTTAATCATAGATTTAAATGCAGATGTAGAAATCTTTATACGGGATTTTCTATTTTGAAAACTCGTCACTATCAATTAAGTCGAATATAGAGAGTTATTAACGATTGAAACTGATCGATAGATTATTTTATAGAATTTAACCAAGTATCAGCTCAGTTTGCTTTTTATAAAACAAGATTAAGATAAAGACAAATCTATAATAAAAAGACGGAATTTACGGTTCAATTTTTTAGCACTGTCCTCGGACATATCACCTGTTTCGCTTTTATCTCTTTATTCTTTTCGGAAACATACGAAACTGAACGAATCCGCTTAAAAATATTACTTTTATTGCGTTTGATTTATTTTTGTAGGCAATATATTTCGAAAATAGTTTGTTTACAATAAAAGCCATCACTAGTTTCGGTTAAAAAAAAGAAAAAAAAAACACCCTTTATAACCGTATATTTTTATATCCATTGAATACATATTGCTCTGGAACTATATCTATGCATTGAATTTATGCTAAAAGTATAAGAATAGCTTTCGTTATGATTAATAAATTTAATTATATTGAAGTTTTTTTTTGTGAAATTCCATATTTTTAATTCTATTTATATTTTTCGAAAGCCAAAAATTAAATTTATAACTTTATATTTCGTACATTCATTTATTTTTATTTTTACGTCTAATACATTTCTTTACTAATATTTCCGCTATTCAAATAAATTAGGTTACATATTTGTATTTTTATTTACTTTAA